TTGGAAGTGTTAAGCCTTAAGCAGCACCCATAATTAGGTTGCTCTACCATTCTTTCCTACATTTTTTCTTTCAACGAAAAAAAGAGATTTATGAAAGAGATTTAATACCAACAGATGGTTCCAGATTGCTTCTGAATCATGAAAAGGGTGATGCTATTCCATTCCATATGCTGACTTATCTGAATAACTAATGTGGTCAGTGTTTGTGAAGATGAAACTACATTTGTTTGCAAGTTTTGAGCAGAAGAATTGAATACTTGTGAATGAAAACTGATTAAGTTCTGACTTCAGTTCATTCCATTACAGGACTATTTTTACTTCTCTTACTGTTGTTACTGTGGAAGTGGGATCGGGGAGAAAGTTCTTGAACATCGTGAATTCCCTCAGTTGATTAGATGTAAATGAGGTAAGCTGTTATTTTTAGTTACCATAGGTAGAAACCAGCGTGTCACATGTCTTGTCAGATTGAAAGCCGCGTGGGTTACTTGAATGGTAAACAAACATAGGTTGCTAAGCATTAACACTTTGTTAGGCAGTGCGATATTCTTGTTTTTCTGTTAAGCGGAGAATGTAATGTAAATGGAGAGCGAGGAAAGAGTTTGAAGAAAGAGGACGATGATGTAGATAATGAAGTTAGAGAGTGGCAACAAAGAGTATGCAGGAAAATGAAAGTTGTTTAGTTCTTACCTCTCGTGATCAAAAAGACAAAGTCAATACCATTGTGACAGGTATAGAGCCTGCCTTTTCCAAGACGAACCAAAAACAGTTTAAATAGTTTTCCATACGTGGATATCCTATTGATGTCATAATAATGACTCAAGCTCACTCCACATACTTTTGCAGAGAATAGTGGCCGCAACAAACGGAGAACAATATATATATATATATATATATATATATATATATATATATATATATATATGAATTAAAGATGTTATTGAAATATGTAAAAGGTGGTTAAAATTTTAAAGTGTAAAAAAAAAAAAAAAAAAAAAAAAAAGAAGAAGAACGAAAAGAAAAGAAAATAGCAGATGTGGTGGTAACGAGAAGTTGGTAGATGGTTATAGTCGGAGAGTTTGTGAAGTACAGTTAATGCGTGGTATGTACGCATTCTGCGACACAGAGAAGCATGCAACAGCTCATAGTAGTCCCCACTTATACTACACTTGTCTTAGGATACATCCAAAATGCAAAGAATGTTTTGGACTCGAATTTAGGAATCAATTAGAAAATACATGGAAACGTTTCCTTGATGACTGCTTTATAATTTTGGACAAAAAAGAAAATAAATTGGAAGACTTCAACCTGATCCTTAACAACCTACATCCCTCTTTACACTTTACGATGGATTCAACTTCAATACAACTCCCATTCCTCGATGTTATGGTAATGAGTGTAAAAGGAAAAATTGAGACAAATGTGTATTACAAAACAACAGACACAAAACAATATCTCCCTTTTAAGTCGTGTCATCCCAGACACATTAAGCACAACATACCATACGATCTAGCTCGAAGACTATGCACAATTGTCTCAAATGAAACCATTTTAAAACAAAGGCTCAAAGAGCTGGAAGGATTTCTATTAAGGAGACAATACCCAAGGCAACTGATACAAACTCCAATTAAAAAAGCAAAACAGATACGGAAGAACGACCTGAGGACCACCAAAGACAAAGTTAAAAAGGAAGCCATACCATTTATATCAACATATAATAAAAGAAATCCGGATGTCATAACAGGAAACTTACCTTTGGTAAAACAAGATGACAAAATGAATGAGATACTAACTGAAATGCAGATTATAAAGAGTAAGAGACAAAGTCCATCACTTAAGCAAATTTTAACAAAAGCAAAATTTGAAAACAATTCCAGGACAAATGTGGAAACCTCAACAATACGAGTACAGGTGCGGCACCTTTCCACTAATTAAAGAGGGGAGCCATCTAACATTTAAACATGGACTTACATTTAGAATTAAACACCCATTCACCTGCACTAGCTCAAATTTAATTTGTTTTAACTTGCAGTGGATACGGTGAGAACTATATAGGACAAACCAGAGACACTCTCCGATATAGAATGACCGTTCACAGACAACAAATAAGACCACCTAAATATCAGTGCACGTCTGTGAGTGGGCACATTAGGGAATGCTCTATGAACAAAAACAAGGACTTTACGGTATTCCCATTTTATAAATTCACTAGGGAAACGACCCAAATAGAAAGAGAAATTAAAGAAAACCTATTAATTAATAAATATAAACCTACATTAAACAGGTAACAGCATTGGTAAAAGCAACAATTAAATACCCATTGTTAGAGACATCACATTGAGCCTTTATTACATCATATAGTAACCAAAATAAACAAACCCCCTGAAGATGCAATGAAACCGGTCGGGGCAAAATAGCTGCTGTTCTTTTTTTTTTCTTTTTATTGTATATATACATATACTCTTACAGGAAAAACACTTTTACTTTCAATAAGAATGTTATTCACCAAACAGCCTGTAAAATGGATATATATATATGGGAACAAAACTATATGATCAAAATATTCCCAGATATCGTTAAGCATGCAAGCAGGAATATTCACAATTATTATGTACCTAAGAAATCCAATATACTTCTTTTTGAGCTGAAGTATTGTGTACCTGTGAATGGAAACTTCACTTATCAAGAATGATGTGATTTTTTTTTCTTTAGACAACATATAATATTGAGATAGTTTTACCTCCAATATTTCGATGTCTATCAGGACATCTTCTTCAGGGTATGAGGCTATCCAGTTGAATAGCCTCTATTCAGGAGATGTACTTGCCCCCCCCCCCCCCCTCCACCTATTGTCTTAGGAAAGGGAGGCAGAGGTCAGGGAGGGTGGCACCATCATTTCTGTTGAGACTGGTCCCTGTCTTTTTGATGCGGATGGCTTCTATGACCTTTCTATAATTTTCCCTTGGTTCACTGTCAATCACCTTTATTTTGTCCTGATAGACATCGAAATATTGAAGGTAAAACTATCTCAAGAAAAAAAGCACATCATTCTTATAACTGAACACAGCTGATGAAATTCTTCTCTGATACACTTATAAGTTCTGACATAAGTTTATTTAGTAAGAAAACCATTTTGCTACTTATGTGTTGTGGGATACGCGAACCCCAAATCTAATTGCATATTTTAAGATGTCTTATATCTCTGAACTTGTTTAAATTATCATCATTGTAAATGTGATATAAAGTATGACACAAGTATCAATTCTTTGGTTTACAAAAATATTGGAAATATACTGACTGTCAATGAAAACGCATCAGAAAACTTTCTTGTACTTTTTTTGCCGACAATGGATTCCAACCATATAAACGAGTACAAATGCACTTGTTTGGTCATAAGAGAGTTGGCTGACCACTATTTCATATTTCACACGAAAACTCTTATTTTCTTAATGTGCCAAAGGAACTTAAAATATTATTTGATAAATAATGTGTTTTCATTAACTGTCAGCATAAAAAATATACACAATACATAACATATAGTTCTGACTGAAGCACAGTAATAAGTCTCAATAATGTTTTTATAATCCACTGGTATAATATATTTGGGTCCGATTCCTCCCCAGTGCACATTTTTGGAGCTAAATATTTATCAAGTGCTTGCAGCCGAAGATAGAATATATTTTGTTCCAATCATTACCATTGCAAATGTAAAAAATATACCAATTTTTGTGCTACCAGGATGGCGGTCTGAAACTGTAAGAAATGTTAAGATGATGAAAAAGCTTTAGTTCTTATTTCAATAATTTAAATATAATAAATACATTTACAAACCAAAGTATAATCAGGTCTTTTTTGTTATCATCTTAAGTGATCATAATCATATCAATGTATTCTGAGACATAATTTTCATACATACATGTAGACATCAGAAAAGCATATGAATAAGTGGTGGGGTTCAGGCAGACCCATGTTGTACAGGTTGGTACTTTTTAGCTACTGTACTGATGACGATTAAGTAAACTGACTTTTATGCCTACTTGTACCTATTAAAATGTCAATCAGATAAATCACTAACTGATTAGTTAATTCAAATCCACTTCCATTCCTGCAAGGAGGAGAGAACCTATGGCTCCGTATAATCCCTATCTAAAGGATTACTAGGCTTGTAACAAGGATATTAAAACTTCCAAGGTGTGGGATATTGTCTAACACTACTTATATTCTCCGCTAGCAATATATATCGAGGAGAATATAGTTGATACACTATGGAAAATTGCTGTACCCATGGTGACGGACCATGGGGAGCTAGTATAGAAAGACACGAAAACGAACAAAGTTAGTCTGTTCTCTCCATTTTAATTTACATAAGTCTCTACAACTGTTTCACTTAATTTAATACGGTAAGTGATACAGACAGAAAATTATGTCATAAACTAATACATTTTATTCAAATTTAATTTGATTCTGTTAAACATTTACCTATGTCAGGTGATTCTGTGATAACGTAAACTAAGCATAGGCAAAATAGAGGATAATATCTACAAATCAACTGGGAATGTGTTACTGCCAAGAAAGCAAAACATATTTCCCATAAATTGGTGTTGGTAACATACCCACCTTCCTGTATCATGCACATTTCGTGCCTTTCGAAATATCTGTAACTTTTTGGTCTGCGTGGTATGTATCACTGGTTCCAGTCCCACAAATAGGGTAATTGGGTTGAAGTGATCTCCGTTTCAATGAAAGGTTTACTATATAATATTTTTCATTATCATAGTATAAAAAAGTTGGACGAATCAAAACGTCCACTTTGAGTTCACATTAAAGGATTCTCCCTACGTTTTTGGATAGTGTTTTTTTATATATATATTACCAAAGCCAGTTGTTTGCGTTATTCATAATGTACATTCCAAGTATTTGTTCTAAACAAATAAATTCCAAATTACAGTGTATAGTTTATATACACAACAACGATAGTACACTATATCCTCATTCTTATACAGACACAAGCTGCGGAAACATGGCTGCTGATGACAAATCGCTGACAGCCCCTCATAGACGACAAGGCTACGAGATATTGCCCATCTCCCAGAAAGATCTAGCAACAAGGCAAACCTCTGTGCCTCTGATTTTGCCGAACGACTTTCAGTATGATCCGTCTTCGGGCAAGATTGTTAAGAAGGAAGGTGAGAAAAGAACCCACCTGGTCGTGGTGGAAGAGGCTCTAGAGCTGCTGCGGGATATAACAGATCCGGTCAGCATATTGGGGATTTGTGGACCAGCACGGAGCGGAAAGTCTTACGTTGTGTCAAGGTATGTGTAGGTTATGTTTAATTTATTATGGCTTGACTTTTGATTTGTTGATACTACAAGGCATGTAATTTTAGAATAAAAAGTGATAGATCAATGTAAAAATAGGAGTACAAACCGTACGCTCAAACGAAAAATGTCAACTTTTAAAATGACGTTTCCTTAATAGTAAGTTTAACATTAAATGTTGCTTTTTAAAGATATCACTTTACTCGAAGACATTATTATCATCTGCCTTGTGCTACATACCTGCTTCTATCTTTATACCCTGTATTGACAAATAAATAGGATTTTTCCCCCTTTGCAGGATGGCGGGAGCCCATGATGCGTTTGAGCTGGGAAATAAAATGAGCTCTCAGACGCTCGGTATTTGGATGGGAACAAAGGTTCTGAGACATAGAAAGGAGGGATTTACTACTATCTTGATAGACAGTGAGGGGACGGGTAAATACAGTTATATCTCTCGTTGGCGTATAAGTCAGTCATTGAGGTTCACATCGTACATGATGCTTGATCGCTAGGTTTCCTCGATTATCCGAAGTATGATGGTCGTTGTTGCCTAATAAAGGGGTTACATTAGGTGGTTTTACATTAGGTTTTTGACACTCTGTCGAAGGCTGTGAATATCGTAACCATAGCTGTGGAGTTTATCAGTCGACGTCACTAGTGGGCCTGATTTGGTCTTAAAGTGCAATTTAAGTCCAAAACTGGACTGAAGCGGTTTTAAAGATTAAGTAACATGTAAGGACTCTTAATTTGATCGTAAGACTAAAAAGGAACTGAAAGTGTGTAAGACTATAATTGATCTGACTTCAACTGAAGTGGCAAAGCACTTATCTCCCCTCATACATTCAGTCCAAACTTGGACTGACTTTCCAGCTACCCAGGTGAGAATAGCTATCAAGTAGAGGGCCATTGTGTGAGTAGCAAAGGGTTGCCTTTTGTCAAGTAATTGCTTATTGCCTGATTGCTAAAGGGTGATTCAGATACCATCTCAAATCATTTCTAAAGCAAGGAAAATGCAGCAGTTTTGGACTTAAATTGCACTTCAGACCAAATCAGGTCCACTAGTGCGTGCTGTGTGCACCACATGGTTTAATGTATTATTACCTGCGAAGAAAATAGTAAGTCTACAGAGGTTACCGGAGGAGATGGATTGTGCCAGAAGTGACGTGTAGTGGTGTATGACGTGAGAATGAGTGGTCATTTTTTGCTGGAGGTGAACGGGAGTGAAGATTTGGGTTCAGAGAAAAAAGCAGTTTTTCCAACAACATAGTGGGATAACATGTTTTCTTTTGGTATTTTGGGCGGAAAGTACTTGTAAAAATAACAGGTTCATGATATAGAAAAATGTGATATCTTTAAACTCTTTACAATCTTTAAAAAAAAAAAAAAACAGATTAATCATTGCACAGCGATCGTGGTTCGGTGCGATTCAGTTGTCAGTTGCCAACTACTTCCTGGTTTTTCCCAAGGTCCTTCAAGGATTCTAAAATTCGTTATTATAGCAGCGCATACCACAAAACACCCACAAATAATTAGACATTGGCATAACAGATTACATATATTCAAAAATTCATATAAAAACTCATCGCTGCATATGTCGTTATCCATGTGGATATTAAAACCTCCAGCTATTACCAGGCGACCTGGAGAGAACAGAGCACCTTCTAAAAGCTTGGAAAATTCGTCTGCGAAGCTAGATACTGTGTACTTGTGCTTCTTTGAGAAGGGTGGACGGTATATCAGAATCAAATGCAACATACCTTTCCGGGTGGAGACATTCACATCAAGGAATTCAAAAGATTTAAACTCTGACGCCTTGTTTTTACAACTTTCATGTTGGGCCGTGTCATAATGGCAATGCCACCACCTTTCCGGTGATTTCTAGGTGAGTGCTGAATTGTATAGCCACTGAAGGAGGAGTTAAAGTCAGCATCAAAGAAATTGCAGTTTTTACTATTTATCCTTGTTTCTGTTACCATGAAAATGTGTGTATTATGCTGGTCTATAGAATCACATAAGTGGGGCACCTTGTCAACCACGGATCTGGCATTCCAAAGAGACATTTTGCTGTATTTTCCAGATGATATGAAGATACACATTTTATGGTACACAAAGTTTTTGGTCTCTTCTCTGTGTAAGTTTTCACTGCCCTGTTAAATTTGTTGATAATGACAGGTATCACTGCCTGCCCTGCAGCCCCTGTGTGTTGGTAATACAAGGCTTATACCACTTGTTCTTATTGTCCTGAAAAGGCCCCTGGGCAATACCACATTACTGGCTGTAACTTTGCTACCAATTTCACGCAGTCTGTTCATTGAGTATCTCATCTTGAGTTGTTGTCACGGTAGTGTTAAAATATCCAAGTGGTCATTGGTTTATTTGTATGCAACAATCTTAGAAAGGCTTGGAAAAAATTTCCAAGTGACTAGAATGTCCATAAAGTGTCCAAAAGAGTCCTTGTGTATTCATAAACGTATTCTGTGAAAGATATCCCTCCAAAACCCACACTTCCAATAAAAAGCAGTAAAGTTTGTCAGAGGTCATTAGCAGGGCTGCTGCAGGAGCGCACCTTGACCTTGACCTTGGTTTACCTGCCATCGAGCCTGATACTTTCAATGTTTATGCCTTTGTCATGCCAATCTATCCTCTTGAATTTTCTTTCCAAAATGCGGTCAACAGTTTAGATATTGTATCATTAACAATGATAATAAGAAGATGGGTCTATAATTCTTGATGCCTTTTTATGTTACCCGTTTTGGACAGCATGATCAATTTGCATTCGTCCTTGCTACTGGTATTTTCTCAGCTGTAAGCACATTGAGAAGAGTTAGGCTGGTTCTTGGGCTAGTATACCATCTCCAGCTTTTATTACTTTTGATATGATGTTACATTACCCTATTTAATAATAATAATAATANAATGGCTGTGTGGAGGACCTTTGTTGATGCCCTAGACGCTTTGACGTAAAAGGAGATAGTAGTATAGTAGTATAGTAGTATAAAGATTTGAATGAATTAGTGGAATTAGTGCATAGGTACATTTGTTTGTATAGTCTCTGCAGTAATAATTGAGGGTACCACTTTAACTTTTCCCCAGATGGTTATGCTATTGCCATGTGCCAGCGTTCTGTGACAGTCTTCCACGCTATGAGACGACACTGATATTTGGCCGCACACTGCTGCGCTCAGTATTCCAGACAATGAGGAGACAGCTGCTGGACAAGTTCAGAGCTGAGAAGGATAAGATGCCACCGGAGAAAAGAACACTGGTGCTGACACATTTTCCAAGGTATAGTCAAGGATAAAAATATTATTTTATTTTATTTTATTTTAAATAACTGATAAAGAAGCAACCCTTACAGATAAACCACAGTAGATTGAATTTGTTGATACTAATGACATAATACTAAGGCCAAAATTTGAATAATATAAACCTGTCAGATGTACAGGATTATTGCTTATATAAATTGATTTTTGAAACAAATATATTCCATTATTAATTTAGGTTGATGATGTTTATTTACGTAAATTTAGGCCACCAGCCTATATTACATTACAGTAACAGGAGTCAAATTTATGCCTTCTACATGTATATATCCCTAAGTTTGAAGCACTCATACACATACATTGACAGATTTGTCAAGAGAGTTGCATCTTCAGATTTCATGAGCTTATTAAAGTTGAATATGTTTGCCTGAATGCCGGGAATATATTTTGCTCTGTAACCATTATATCGTGGACACACAAGCACGAAATGGTACTCGTCCTCTATGTATGCTTCATTATAAGCGTTGCAGCAGAAATCACAATGTCTAAATTTGGGATCTATATTTTGATGTCTACCCCTCTCGATTTTTAGATCATGACACGAGGTTCTAAGCCGTGATAAGGCATTTCTAATCTTCCATGATGTAATTACAGTTAAATAGCGCTCCACATTTAGCATAGTTTTATACTCACTATAGCTATTCAGTTTACTATTGCCCTTCACATCAGCGGACCACTGTTGAAATGCAGTGTCTTTCAACCGTTGAGTAAACTCACTTAAAAAGAAATCAACATTTCCTATATCTTGTGACAGCCATAACACACCATAGCCGTAGCTGAATAATACATGTTTTATCTTACTAGCCCATGTAATTCTACCGGACAGCTCTAGGTTATATAACATTTGGTAACATTGCCTTGGGTACCTGTCTCGTCCCATACATAATAATTTCAACCAGTATTTAATGCTGCGTGTGAGATAATGCACCGTCAGAGGTAGTCTTCCACATTCTCCTAGGGCTGCAGCGTTTGATGCGGAGCTTGGTAAACCTATTATTAATTGTTCCTTTTCATCTTACTACTATGGCCAATAAATAACAAGAAAATTAAAAAATAATTTAAATGTGAAATTCCAGGTTTCTGTCCATGTTAGAAGAAGAGGTGTATGGTGCTGCCTCTCCTATCTGGGATCCTGAATTTACACACAAACCTGCCAATATTTCCAACTCGCCACCTGCCACACCCACAGGTAAATGTCTCTGTAAATATCCTGTCCAAGACAGTTCCATCATCACAACAAATACAGTGCATCTTCAGTCCAGGGCTCCGTAACTTGAAAGCATCACAAATTGCACAAGCGTCTCTATTCCATAATTCGGCATATACTCGCCCCATGTAGGCCCTGATAGCCTCGAAATGAAAGGTGATTTCCAATGCGCATTGCTTTCATGATACGGAGCCCAGAATTCACACACATATGCAGGTTTAGTTAGGCGGCTAAGCCAAAAAATTGTGCAAAAGTTGATAAAAGCATGAAACTTTCCACGATGAATGACCATCGGGTGTTTGTCAATTTTGGATCGGGGGGCAACTCCTAAATTCACAAGTACCCGGATGAGCAGCTTTCTTAAAATATGCTGACTCAGCATTTTGTGTACATCCAGAATTCACGTAAACGAGCACTACCGGCGTTAATTATGATAACATGAATAAATTTGAGAAACGTACACTAGCTGTAAACATCTATTACAGCAATGATGACATCATGATGACGTCACTGGGTGATACTGCTCAATACAAAATGACAAATACCCACTCACTCGCATATGCCAAATAGTCGAACCCTGCAATGATCTTTCCTGTAAACATTCATTACAGAAATGCATCTTTGAGGGCTAGAAAGGTTGAGTTGGCTTGGTTTCTACTTCCGAGGCTTTGAGCATTTTCAATATGGCCGTCAATTTTTAGAGAAAATAGAAAAACAACCAAGAGTTGACAGATATAATTTATTTGTGGCTATTGTGAACACATTTCCCGTCATAAAAACACAGTAGGACAAATGACTGTATACTAGCTTGTTTCTGTTATTGAAAAATCAAAATGGCCGCCAACGCATACAGCAGAGGATGAAGTATTGCAGTTAAATCAGTCTATAACTTGTATAATTAGTCTAATTAAAACTTTTTATGCCTTCGGTTTTTCTGTTCATTTCGATTTTTAATTAGCCATGATCCTTACCTATCATTATAAGCTTGTTTGACACTCAAAAATAAAAGGAATGAAATGAAAAAAAAANAGTCTCATTATTAAACTAATAAGATACGTAAAAGTGTTTGTTTGACATTTCCTGCATCTTTACAACATTGTTAGTTGATTATGTAAAAATTATGGTAAAGTTTTTATTGTGTATTGTGTAATAAAGTGTCAAAAATGGAAATAAACTCATATCATTGCAGTTTGTCAGATTCAATCATCCACTATGTTCAGAATCTCAGAATGGAGGAAATTGGACATTTAACACTATTCTATTGATATTTTTCCCATCTCATCAATTTTCTTAGTTGATCATATAAAAATGGCAGTAAACTGTTCATTTTGTTTTATGTTAAAAAAGTGTTAAAAATGGAAGTAAACCCATTTCAGAACAGTGCTGTCTTGTTAAAATTTGATGTTGAATTTGCAGTTTAACATTATGTACTTTTGCATCTGAATTGGCAGTAGCCTATTTTGTGCATAGTTATTTCCTGCTTTTTGTCTGTACATTTGACAGCTTTGCTGCCTTGTTTAGGTTCCTCTCGTCTGGCTGGGCCGTAGCTAGATCGTAGGGAAGAAATCAAGTAACTGGCGATTGTAATTAGTGCGCAAGAAGAAAGTGCGTGGACAGTACTTGAGAAGCTCAGCCTCCGCACGTCAGAAGTATCTCTGCGCCCGACGGGCTTTAGCATGTGTCCCGCATCGTGCACTACGTACGTTATGCGTACAAGGAGTACAGGCAAGGGAAGGGCAACGCAAGTAGGCGTAGGGCAGCCTTGCTGGCTTCCTATGGCTGTTGCTCGTCCTTTGCACGGGAATCTTACGTGTTGAGATGTTTTGGGGGAGGTATAAAAACAGGTGCATGTTTGATAAGGTCATTATATCCGCAGCAGTGTTCAAAGATGGTGAGCCCAATCATACTTTGCTTGTCCCCGATCCCCCTCTCCCCTCTTGCTCTTTGCTGTCTCTTTAGGCATTTTTACAACTTGACATCAATTTTTTGGCCGTAGACCAGACGTAGAAGCCCGTATGTTGGATTGGGACCCAGGCTAAAGGATATGTAGGGAAAATTCGCTTTGTCGGGTGAAAGTGATCATACCGAGTCCGTTCAGTCTCAGTGCAGTTGCAGCACGCCTTCCGTGTGGCTTTTCTTGGAGATAGACACGATGTCTGGACATATTCCTAGGATTTTTAGCACCCATGTGCTCAGAATAAAGAAGCAAAACTTCAAATTTGTGAATTACAATAGTTTTAAACACCTTTGCTATTGTTATGCCCCCTTAACCCACCAGTGGTAGAAGGAAACGAAGCCATCGCCCGCTGACGATCTGCCGCTGACGAAGTCCTTTGCACGGATATGAAAATTGATTTCTCGTCTCCCTCGGATCGAAAACAACCACCTGCTAAAGGTATGAAAATTGCCTTGGCGTCTGGGTCCGACCGCTGCCAATCTTCCGCGAACAAAATCCCTTGAACCAATATGAAAATTGCCTTCTCGTCTCGTTTGGATTGCAAACGATCTCCCTCTGAAGATTTGTAAATTGGCTTCGCATCTTGCTCCGATGGCGAATCACCTACCACCGACGATCTCCCGCAAACGAAATCCGTACTTGAACGAATATGAAAATTAGCTTCTCCTCTGTCAGCGCTGTCAGGTGCTGCTTGAAGGTCTGATAGGTTTCAGCTTTCATAATTTAACGGCAAGCTTGCTAAAAATCTAATAAAAGTTGGAAATGCCTAGCATTGGTCAGTAGCCTTATTTTTCAAACATTAAGGGGTTGCTGTTGACACATCAGAGATGACTGGCTGATTAACGGAAGAAGAAATTTGACGAACATATTTCCTTTCCTCTTTGTAACATCTAGTTAACCAATCTGTTTTATTATGTTGCCTGCATTGACCACAGGCGTATTATTTTACTAACATACAATGTATATGCAGATTTCATTCGTTTAAAATCTTTTTCAGCTGAAAAAAACATAATGGATTGGGACCCAGGCTTTTCCGTGACGTTTTGGTGGCTATTTTGCTATTTCTATTAAAATGACTTGCAGATTATGTGAAAGAAAACCCTAATAAACACCACCTCTGTATTTGTAAACATGCAAATAGACTTTAAAATGAAGAATCTTCATGCACTGTATAAGTTTGATGTAAATTGCTATGAATACTTACAGTGTATGTAATTTTGCGTAAAAATTGGCAGCCATTTTGGGTTACGAAAAGTGCCAATGTCCCAGACGTTAGTAAAGCCAAGCTNAGAAAACCCTAATAAACACCACCTCTGTATTTGTAAACATGCAAATAGACTTTAAAATGAAGAATCTTTGATGCACTGTATAAGTTTGATGTAAATTGCTATGAATACTTACAGTGTATGTAATTTTGCGTAAAAATTGGCAGCCATTTTGGGTTACGAAAAGTGCCAATGTCCCAGACGTTAGTAAAGCCAAGCTAAGTTGACTTTTCTGGCCAAAAAGGGGCAGTTCTTTTTCAAACTATTACAGAAAAAAGATAGTATTGTTCAACTATGGGACCAAATAGATTGGTAACCTGACTACTTGGAGGGCTTACGCCCTCACCACACATAAGTTGAATATTAAACAAGCATATAATGGTAGTGTAGGATAAAAGCTAACGAAAAATCACGATGAACGGAAAAATCAAAGAAGAAAATGCCGTTAATTAGACTGATGATACTAGAAATATGCTGATTTGGTGATTTACTTTACCCTCTGCCTCTACCCTATGTTTTGGCAGCCATTATGTTTTTTATCAGTAACAACAATGTGCTAGGATGTAGTCTTGTGCCCTACTGTGTTCTTCCGACATGAAACACATTCACAACAGCCCCAAATAAAGTATTTCCATCGACTTCTGGTTGTTTTTCTTTTTTTCCTCAAAAATTGACGGCCATATTGAATATGCTTAATGTCTCGGAAGTAGCAATCAAGCTAATTTTACCTTTCTAACCCTAAGGGATGCACTTCTGTTATAAAAAATTACGGAAAAGAAACATGACAGAGTTTGACTATTGTTCCTGTAGGAGAAAGTGGATATTTGTCATTCTAAGTTGTGCAATATCACCCAGTGATGTCATCGTGACGTCACCATTGCTCTCATAGATGTCCACAGTGAGTGTACGTTTTTAAAATCTATTTATGATATCATAATTAGTACTGTTAGTGCTCGTTTTAATGAAATCTGAATGTACATAAAATGCTGAGTCAGCATATTTAAGAAAGCGTCTCATCCGGGTACTTGTGAATTTTGGAGTTGCCCCCCGATCCAAAATTGACAAACACCTAAGGGTCATTCATCATGGAAAGTTTCATGCTTTTATCAACTTTTGCACAATTCTGGATATAATTTGGACTTAACCGCCTGACTAGTTAACTATTTTGATTCTCTTTCACGCCTTTAAGGTGATGGTCTGTTACCTAACAAGGTGAGAACTGTTCTGTTTCATATATTAATACTCATTCCATTATCACTTTTCACGAACTTATATATTGTATTATGGCCCATAAGCACTACATTGACATTGATGTGTAACATATATAAACAGTAACAGAAAAGTAGTTTTTCATCCTTTCCATAAATAATATTGGTCTTAGCGCATTTAGCTAGCATAATAATAGTATGTTTTATTTTTTCCAGATGTGTCATCTCCCATCGTAACATCCCCATCTGGTGCCGGTGTGAGCGGCTTGGCAAGGTTCCAGACTTCCGGAGTGACCACGTCCACAGCGTCCAGTCTAGAGGGGTTTACGCAGATCAATGTTAGTCCTGGACTCATTAGTGGTGCCAGGAGGACGTCTAAGAGCAAAGATACAGGTAGGTTTGCTGTATTGTGTCACAGGCCCAAGATACTGTCATACCTTTCACAAGTGGATATTTTTCTTGTCACTCAAAATTGGAATTGATATTTACTGCCAAAGGCAACAACGAGACTTCACACCATTTCTCATTTGAAACAATATTGTTGATTTTATTTGAAGTGTAAGACATATATATTTTTTTTAATTCTAAAAAATCAAGTTTGTGTATCCCAAATCCAAGTATTATAAGTATAATGTCTATCATTGTAGAATATGACTTAATTTTTTGGGGTACTTTGACTTTTATGGCTTCTCCAAGAGTTATACAACCAGTGCACTTTATTTCAGCAGAGAAAAGAAAGCTGGAGGAGGTGCCAGTCCTAGAAGAGTCCAAGAGAAGACGGATCGATGGTGATGTTCCAATGGAGCTGGTCAACCAGGTCATTGCGACTATCTCAGACCCAGATCTTATGTTAGGGCCAGAGGTAAGCTTCCCCCCCTCCCCCTCCCCCTTCCCCTCCCCTTTATAACACATAAAGCTATGGTATTATAATTTAGATGTTTAAAATTTGTCAAGTGTAATGACATCTTTAATTTATTTAGATTTTTTTGCTTTTGTCTATATCTTATATGCAATTTGAAATATTTCAAATAAATCTGAATAACTTTGGCATATGTTAAGGCCTCAACTTTAGTAAGATATTATTCATTTGTGTATAAACAAATCCTGAATATGATGTGACAGATAATCTTGTCCCAAACTTCAAAGCACTTTGCTATATATGAAGAGAAGTGCAATGCTTACAGGTCTATGTCCATGTCCAGATATAAGAACCCATTATCTGGACAGTAGTCTGTATCTTGTTTCGAGATGTGAAATGGGCTGAGCTCCCACCACAAACAGTGCAATCACACCCTGCCCAAACAACCTGGACACCTTAAAGTTTGTATTGGCTTATATGACACAGAAAATGGCCTGTTCAGTACTACATCTAATTGAGTTAAACCTTTCATTTTTCCCTCATAATGTTCTGTGTTTGAGGCTGTCTAATAGATGGCAGCACATTATACATATTAGGAGATTGGTTCTCTGATGGCTGCAGGGGTGGATTTTCTGGAGCCTGCTTTTCAGTTGGAAGATCTAGAATGTGAGGTTTTTCTGGGGACTGCCCCAAAATAGGGAAATTGACTTGTCTTTCTGGAGATTGTACATGTGGCATTACTATGGCCTTCTCAGAAGACTGTCCTGCAGGAGACTGCCCAAAAGATGGCAGCACTGGTTGTTTTTCAGGAGACTGTTGCATAGAGGGCAGCCCTAGTGGCTTTTCAGGAAATTGTGTTTCAGGTTGCAGGATTGGGTTAAACATTTCAGGTGACTGTTGTCTAAGGATGGGCAGATCTGGAGATCCTGCAGACGGCAACTGTAAAGACTTCTCAGGAGGTCCCACATTGGGGGCTGCTAGGTTTTCAGACGATTGCTGTACAGATTGCAGCACTTCTGGTTTTACAGGACTCTGTCCAGCAAATGATGGCCCTAAAGCATTATCACTAAACTTCAAAGGCGATGACACTACTGGATTTTGAAGATTTTGTCCTGAAGGTGGCAGCATCAAAGACTCTTCAAGAGGCTGTTGCATCGGTGACAGCACAATAGATTTTTCAGGAGATTCTCCTACAAATGGCAGCACAATAGATTTTTCAGGAGATTCTCTTACAGGTGGCAGCATAATAGATTTTTCAGGAGATTCTCTTACAGGTGGCAGCACAACAGATTTTTCAGGAGATTCTCCTTCAGGTGGCAGCACAACAGATTTTTCCACAGATGGCAAAACTGGAGAATCTTCTGGAGGATGTGCAGATGGTAGTAACTTCTGAATAAGCAAACTGTTCTTTGTGGCTTGTGCATTTATCCCATTATAATCCAGTGTTGTTCTAGATGGCAATGTCTCTCCCTTAAAATCTGACACAGCATTGATCCCGGATGCCTCTGTACTGCCATCCATACCAACATGTGATGTATACCTAGTATTTGGTGTCACGGAGTCAAAACTGTTGGCCACAGTCATATTCATACTATTCAGTTTAACACTGTCATTGGTGTGGCAACCTCCTTCTGGGCAACTAGAGGCTGCAGATAGCTTTCTCCCAGCTTTTATGTAGCTGTCTGTTATTTTATAGAAAATCAAAATACCCAGCAGACATAGTATGAAGAAATACATACGCTGGGATCTCTCCGTTCTGTGACTACAGAGTTTGCCATAAGCTGCGAGCCTCATCTTGTGATCTGTCATTTTAAGACCAGTCACGACTATGGTTGAGCGATATACTTTTTTGACTAATAAATAAATAATCATGTGCTGGTTGGAAGGTCTCATGTTGAAAATTCTTCGAATATGCTAGTTGACTGTGCTTAATATTAGTGATGTGATTCTTTCAGCTGGTCTTATGGTTTTCCTCTTCATTAAATGTATTCATTTATTACATCTATTTTTCCCTCCCTGCTCATTAGAAATTTTTTTAGTATTTTTAGTGTATGTTAGTACATTTTGTTTGTAAAACAATCGTTAAAGTTACTTTTCCTTAGTCTGTTCAATCTGTTTAACTATTCATGATCTGTTATGTTAATTATTCAACTGTCTTCCAGAATGAGGGTATCACTTGGCTTAGTATTCAAATAGTACAGCATTTTCTTTACTTACACTAGATCAAGTAATAACTTGATCATATCTCAGACAGCAGCTCATTTTTTTTTTCAGGATTAAGGTTTTACTAGTATGTTCAGACCACAACCTTCATATGTTTTTCTGCAGGGAGTAGAAAATGCAAATATCACAAACACTGTACTAGTATGCAAGTTGTTTAAAACTTATATGCCGCAGTAATTGCATTGTTTGAGTAGGAAGTGTGGTCCATATCACACATTTGCTGGATACAGACATTTGCTGGATACAGACTATACCATGCATATAAACCTTAGATATGAGAGCATAGATGCAAAACAATTTTATGCTTCATGAAACTTGGAATCTGGGACAGAAATGTTTGTCTCTTTATCTTTTGTATTCACTTTCACACAAATGAGCATTATCTTATCCAAGCTTCCTTAGGAATTTAGCATGTACCAAGGACGAAGCTAACTATACCACACATATAAATAAAAAGTCCAAATGCATATTTGTATGCATGTTTTTCCAGGGTTATGGGACACAGCTAATGAATCATTAAAAGACTACCACATTCGACACAATGTTCTACATTTTCTCACATTTGCTGATGAATTTGCACTATAACACAAAATTAAAATATAACACAAATGTTACCTCTTTCAGACCACAGCCTTCACGGCCCACTCGGCCAGAGATGAGGCAGCCAGAATAGAAGAGAAGAAGGGCACCATTGAGTTCCATGTGGTGGGGAACTCTCTCAGTCACAAGCCCTCCAGACAAACCCTGCTCTGGTTGATAGGGATGCAGAATGTTTTCTCCCACCAGCTGCCCCGGATGCCCAAGGAGTACATCACTAGGCTGGTGTTTGACCCGTAAGTCATAGTTCCCAGATGAAAGTTTCATATATATTTGCTTATTTATTTAGAAAAAAAAGTTTTTAGCTTTCAGAGGTCCAGTTTCACCTGTGATAGTCACTGTGACTAATGTACATAATAGACTACTAGTCTGAAGATGATATTTATACATTTTAGAAATCTTCCTACTTAAGAGAAAATTATGAAAAATGTGTTCAGAGTTGGAGATGAAAGTATTTCATAATTATTTGGACATTCAGATATTTGGACGATTTATCTAAACTTCCTATATACAGTTGCATGCCTACAATTCTAGCATTTTTGGAATTTTTTTAAAGATTTACTTTCATCTCTGCAAAGTTTGTTTTAATTGATTACTTTCCAAGAATGATATCAAGTGAAATCCATTCCACTGTGTCATTGGCTTACAACACCTCTGTTCTTCCAGTAAACACAAGTGTCTGGCCCTGGTGAAAGATGGCAGGGTGATAGGTGGAATCTGTTTCCGTATGTTCCCAATGCAAGGGTTCACTGAGATCGTCTTCTGTGCAGTCACTTCCAATGAACAGGTTAAGGTAGGTCATGATTAGGGACAGGTAAAAAAGACTTGGATAAAACTGTTTAAAATGCAAATTTAATCTACATTTTAGATTATGTATAAAAAGGGTAGATCATTGGGCAAAAAATAAGCCTGTAAAGATTAGGCAAAAAAATCTAGAAGAAAGTCTCAATTTCTAGAATAAAGTGGTTGCTGTCAAACAAACCCAGGAAAATGGAGTGAGTGAAAGAGGAAAATTAGAGGCAAAACAGTTCAGTCTCGATATCATAAGCAGTTGTGTATTGTTTTTGATCCATGGTGTGCTCAGTTATAGACAGAGATATGATCATTGATTTCCAGGAACTGTTTTTGTTGCATGCTATTGTTATTTAAAAACAATGCTGCATTTTTCCAGGGTTATGGTACACATCTAATGAATCACTTAAAAGACTACCACATTCGACACAATGTTCTACATTTTCTCACATTTGCCGATGAATTTGCAATAGGTTACTTCAAGAAACAGGTAAATTTAGTAACATCTAGATCTAATAATTGTTGCGTTTCTAATATATGTGTTTGTTTAAGTTTTTTTCTCTTTTTTTTGGGGGGGAGGGGGGAGAGTGTTTTTTTTTTTTTAATTCTCATTATGTATGATTATGAGTAAAACTTTGAGCAGCATCACATGGAAGAAACAGATGATTAACAATCAATGCTACATTGATTAGTTGTCCTAATTTGGGTAATAAACTTGCTTACTTTGCCCAAAAATTCCTAGGGATCATGTTCCTCATTAACTTCAGGGCTTTTCCAAAGACATCAAGCTCCCAAAGACGGCCTATGCTGGTTATATCAAGGACTATGAGGGAGCTACACTGATGGGGTGTGAACTTAACCCCAAGATACAGTACACACAGTTCTCTCATGTTATCAAGAGACAGAAGGAGGTGAGCACAGAGCATCTGCTTATTTTAATATTGTAACCATTCTAAGGTCTTACTATTGGGTATCAGACACAAAATGAACTGATGTACTTACACTCATGAACACAGTTTACTGTTATAATGAAAAAAAAAAAATGGACTCAACTCATAAGAATAACCAATATTAAGCTAAATTGCTACCTACACTTGATTACCAAACCTTACTTCCAGTTACCTAATATACAATGAAATAAACTACTCTTGTGATTCACTTTTTTCAATATTACCATAACACAATGGGTGCAGGAGAAAGCAGAAGTAGGTTTTGCACATTTTTGAACATGCAGAGATAAAAGGAACTAATTACATGCACTATATTTTTGCGAAAATTGCAGTACTTTTAGATTTTCAGCAAACTGCCCTACAGATGGCACCAGCCGTCTGCCCATAAATTAATCTCACCTTGGACAATTAAGTAACTTTAAATTTTACAACTGTAACAATAGCCTGAATTTTGTTCTTTCAGGTCGTCAAGAAGCTCATAGAAAAGAAACAAGAGGAGGTACAGAAAATTTTTGCTGGTTTAAAATGTTTCAAAGATGGTGTCCGTCAGATTCCCATTGAAAGCATTCCTGGGGTGCGTGAAGCAGGGTGGAAACCCACCATGGACCCAGATTATGGGTGAGAAGTTTATCATAGTCATTGGTCGTGTTCACATCAGGACTCACCTCGACTAGATTGTCTGATATATAGTTTGAAGTTTTTGGTGGGATAACTGTATTAAGTGTTATTATAGGTGCAGTTGTGATGTCAGTCAGTCTGTTTCGGGTCATAAGTTATGGGTAATGTGAATGTGCCTAAACTGTGGATCGTTGACTATATAGGGACAGTAATACTAAATGCAATAAATATTGGTTTCTGTTTTTTTTTTTTTTTTTTTTTTTTTGTTAAATACCAAAGCATCAATGACAAACAGTGGTCAAACCTTTTATTTAATTTGAAGATACTAGTAAGCATTAAAATGCTGTTCTTCTTTTTCCTTTTTAGTAAAACTCCCATGGATCAGGAACAGCTATATGGAATTCTCAAGTCAGTCTTGCAACAAATTAAGGTAAAAATACATACAAATTTAATTTTATGCCACTTCAAATCTGCTGTAATGATTATATACTTTAAGATATAATTTGTTTGTTTCTTTACCTCTGCGGAATTGGTAGTCTGCTGCTTTACATTGATGTCTATAGTTGTGCCGAGTGTTTTGTTGAATCCGAATGATGCAGGGTTATTAACCTTTTTCTTTTTTATAGGGTTTGATCATGTAGAATTATGTAATTAACAATTTATATAATAAACACTTTCATTTTTTGTTAATTTTTAGTGTAATCTCTCTCTCTCTCTCTCTCTCTCTCTTTTTATATATATATATATATATATATATATATATATATATATATATATATATATATATATTTTTTTTTTTTTTTTCTTTTTACTTTTTTCCAGAGTCATCCAAATTCTTGGCCATTTCTAAAACCTGTTGACAAAAGTGATGCACCAGACTACTATGATCATATAAAATACCCAATGGGTGAGTTCATGTACCTCCATCTATCTATGGTGTATAAACTTACAACAGCTAGTTACTGTGTATGCCTTGCAAATTTCACCACATGTCAAACTTACCTGTAAAAGATACTCAAGATGTTAGTAAGGATAGTGTCACTTTTACCTCCTGCCAGGGATAGTCTGTGCTTCTGATTTTTGTATTAGTTTAAATTGATTTTAACCATATTACCAGCATTAGAATGAGAAATATCTAACTACATTTGCGCAAATTTTTTGATGTGAATTTGCTATTCATCACCAGGATTGCATTTTGAAATATGTTTTCTTATTCTATACAACATGTGAAAAAATTGTAACCTCAGTTCTCTTTCTCTCTCTGTCTTCAGATCTGAAAACAATGAGTGACAGACTGCGTTGCCGCTACTACTGTCACAAAAGACTTTTTATTGCAGATCTGACCAGAATCTTCACAAACTGTCGCACATACAACAGTCCAGACACCGAGTACTACAAATGTGCTAACAATTTAGAGAGATTTTTTCAAAGTAAAATGAAGGAAGTGGGGCTGTGGGAAAAATGAAAACTTATTTTTTTTTCCTTAAGGAAGAAAAAGAAATCATTATGAAGACTAGTGACTACAGGTGCAATAGAATTTTTTTATTCATATTTTGTATTTTAATTTCTAATAAGAAATGCATTTTCTGAAAATGCGAAACTCTTTAGCGAATAGGATTGGATAATGAAATAAATTGGAAATTTGCAAGACTGGGACTAAAATCATCCCTTACTTCTGTAATATGTAATGTCACATATTTTGATAGGAAAATAGCCATATTTGTTTGATTATAGATAATGTTTTCTGCATAGCAGACATAAATTATATCTGGAATACCATTGTCAATAATGCTATCTAGATAAAAAAAAAATGAATGTACACTGATTTTGTATCACTTTTTTCATGTGTTCTTTTGTTACCTTCTTACTAATTCATTGTTGAAGATTTTCAGCAGCTTTCAAAACGCAATAAAGATCTCCGGTCAGTTCAAACAGTATTTCAACATTTGTGGAACTGCTGTTTGATATGAAAGCTGACTAGCAAGATCTCTGTAAAAGCTTAACATCAATAAGTGAATAAATTAAAGTTTTCATTCCTGCACATTTTACTTTCAGACTTACAATGTAAGAAGGCATTTGTCTGTCATTGATATGGAAAAATAAATAAATAAAAATTAGGAAAAAGTTATTAAAAGTACGTAAGGCCTTTTCACACCAAGTAATTTACATTGAAGCAAAATGGGTGACCCAGTTGTAAAACCCTTGATAATACTCTCATTTAAAGTTAAATTTGTTATGCAACATCCATTGATTGCTGTGTATCAAAGCCAAATCTTAAGATATGCATGTGCAATTTTTCCTCTCTCAGATACATGTTAGACTTGGTTTGAGTTCTTTTGCTAACTTCTTTAACGTCTTCCAAAAACCATAAGAATTCTTTGTCACCCTGATTTTTTTCCTGTCATTTTATGGATGTTTTGGTAAAACATACGTGTTTATAAATGTAGATCTAAATGTCGAAAGTGAGTTTTGGACGCTACTTGTCGAAAACGAGCTAAACTTCTCCCACTGTGTTTTAATATTTGAATCTATATGGTCTCTAGAATAAGTCTTACAAATTTTTTTTTAATTTAAGCAAAGATGGTATTTTTTTAATTAAAATGTCATGGATTCGAACATTGTATTGGCTTATCTTGAGAAAAGCGCCATCTTCACAAATGTTGATTAGAAAAATTGGGTCAAAGCTATCGCAACCGTGACCTCAAAGACACCTGAAGAAGTTGTGATGAAAACGGCTTTAGCGAAGTATTTGAGTGTGCAAGTGGTTATATTGTCGAAATTTAAGCAATACCGAGCCTAATGTAAACAATGTTGTCGTTGCCATGAGCGGAAAAAGTGACTGTGGACTGAAATATTCGCGTTAACCCGCACTTGTTTTGATTGCTGCCGGCTGCAAGGACGCAACTAAAAATTCAAGTAGCTGATGGTTGATTTGTACTGCTGAGAATGCCTCGGGCTTTCCTGGCAAGGAATAAGCACAAGAGAGGGAATGAAGAGGAGACAGAAGGTGTGTACAACTGACCTCTTTCGATCTGTTTAAAGATGTTAGTTTTTGGGTCCAAAATGGCTGCTCTTTTGTTGCGGTGAAATTAACTGGAGGTGAAGGTCGCGTGCCTTTTGCCTTCTTGTGAAACTAATACTTAAAGGGACTGTGCTTTACTTTTTACTCCATTATTTTAATAAATTCATTTAAATTTTTAAAAAATGTCCTACCAATCTTGTCTTAGGCTTCAAGCCT